TTCCACGAAAGTTCTATACATTTCTGCACGTTGTGGCATGCCCGAGTTTGCGATGGAAATTAGAAATTCTCAAAAATTCGCGGAATTTTCGACGGTGCATCAACGAACGCAAGGGACAATGCGTATATTAATAAAAATACGAAAACTTTTCAGCGGTACATTGCTCGCTGAGTATTCCGCTCCGCGATGCAAATGGGTTCGAATAAATCGTGTCAGAAATAAATACAGCATCCAGATATTACGTCAGGACGTTAGTGTATCCATATTCCTCGATTATACGAGCTAGCCGACCATTCTGCTGTGTCGTCGTTCGACTCGCATATGCATGCGAAAGGATAATGCGTGGCGTTCTATATACGTATCAAACCGGATCCTCGCTATCGTTGCCACTGGCATAATGTTCCATGATCGTTGTTCGTTCTTCGCCGCGGATCCGATGAAAATTCATTAACGCACAGATATACATACATACATATATATATATATACATATATATATATACATATATACATACATATATATATATATATATATATCGGTTCATTCAGTCTATAATTCTGGATATAATCTGACTAACCGGTTCCATGGGGGGCGAACGGGGCTAAGTTTATCGCGCCGCCTGTCTGTTAAACTTCTTCCTATCAATTTGGCATGGTTGACAGAACGATGGTGATTATTGGTCGAAGTAATATCCTCTCTCGTTAAATAACACGCTTGAAGATTCTGACTTATGAAAGGCCATTTCTTTTCGTTTCAGAGAGAGGCTCTGAATGAATTTCGAACGAAGCATTTCAAACTTGAAACATTTATTAATTCGAACTATTTTTGCCTTGTTCGAGGCTGAATTCATACTTCGTCGTACGTAGGGAAAAAGTACAATGTCCAAAGTCAAAAAGGTTTGTTTAAAAGTTTCTAAATTATTTTCAAGCTTGTTGATACGATGAACAATGTACTATTTACTTGGGAATGTTCTTTATTCTTTATTGAGATATATCAAAATATCAATATCATTCCTCGTCGTTAATCGTTATCCGATCGAATCACGTCGATATGTGAGTTTATGATACTCTGAAGTAACAACCTCTCTATCAGAAACAATTCTTCTCATTTGACAAGGGTTGTGTTCGACGGAGTGTTCGTTCTTGCGCGACCGATCAATTTTTATCGCCAGTGATATAAATCAGAATGCAGGTCATTCTTTTTTTTTCTTTTTCTTTTATAATTTCGTTTCCACGATATTGTGAGTCACGTTGCTAATCACTGGAGTCCATTATCACCAAGAACATCGTCGTAAAAATTCAACGAAAGAGCTTCTGTCGCGGCAAAAAGTAGACCTCTCTATTTTTATGCATTACGCACGCTCTGTCGAAAATGTGTGTATGAAAGTTCCGGTTGCAGAGACAGAGGGTGGGAAATTTGACGAGGGTCAATACCTGTCACAGGCCACGGTTGTTTTAGAACCGTGGTAGCAGGAATCGCCGATCGCTCGTTTGGAAACTCAGTTCCCTAGTTTCTCTTAGGTCTCTCGGTCGTTAATAACACACATCACGAATTGGCAGGCCAATGATCATTAATCTAGATCCGCAATACTACAAACGATGTGCAATGCAACACCAGCTACATTCGTGACTGGAATGTCCTCATAAATTTGATCGTTCCGCCGAAAATCGTCTTGGCCAATCGTCCGATTGTCACGGCTGTATTCCCTCGCTTTATGGTTAATGAAATCCTCCTCGGACCGTTCGTCGAACACATGGGTTTATAATGGTCCTTGTTTTTCAGGAGGAGCAGCTGGAATTATTACCGGACGAGGCGAAGATCATTCAGAAAATCAAGTCGGATCTGTAAGTGAAACTCAGACGTACAATCTGTCTTCTACTTTTTTTTTTTTTTTTTTTTTTCTTAACACCCACGCGAGGAATTTTAAACTACTATTTCTTTAGACTTCCTTTAGATATTCGTGATTCGTGTGATTACTTAACGTTAAAATCTTTGGAAATTTCGTTGACATTTTAATGAATAGCGGCGAATATGAATTTGAAATTTGAAATTTCCATTTTCAAAAGCGTGTCTCTTGGTCTTCTGTCGAAGTCTTATTTTTTAGATTATACTTTTAGAAATTTCGGCTGGCATAAAGACGCCCAGTCTAGTAATGGAAGAAATGAAATGCGAGCGGTATGCAGAAGTTATAAAGTATTTAGTATTAATTGTATATCTAATGAAAAAGTCAGCAAGCGCATTGTCTGGGGACGTTTTAACTTTGGAAATTTCAAATATCCCAGCAGAAACAACTTCTATAATCTCTTCTAAACGTTTTATTAATTCTCCGATCGATTTCAAATTTTACCAGTGCAGTAGCTACATGATCTTCTTTCTCATTGTACATTTACATTTTATTTCCACGGCAATCACCGAAATATAATCATGTGCAGATATTTTCTGTATCCATTCTGTACGGCGTCACTCTGAGCCAAGTCCTATTACAGTGGCATCGAGGTTTCGAAATGTTTCGCGAAACGTTCGTGAAAAATTCACAAAAGCTTTCTAAAATCGTCCAAAGGCTTCCGTCACGCTAGACCGTACGCCGTACAAACGTGGATGTTGGAAAAATGTGGGTGAGACGAAGGCATGTGTTGCTGGTGAATCGGATCTGGAAATAGTTTGATGATCGTCGAACCGTAATTTTAGTTGAAAGTGTAGGACGTATGACGCAAATCGTGGTTGTCAAGGGAAACAGGAAATCGTTGCGGACGTTTGCCGATTTTTTTCGCCGAGGCTCTGCCTAATTGCAGAACGTACGACTATCTTCCCGCTTGAGTCGAGCAAACTTTTATCGTTCGATCTGTTTAATTCTCCTAACTGTGTCCACCAATTGTGTCAAGCTCAACTTCTCAGTTTCACTCCAGGGTAGTATCTTCGACGCGTGCTCGGCAAGCTTTTTAAATAGACAATAACTTTGAGTTATTGCGTCGTGTCGCGTCGTGTCGTCTCATCCATCGACGTCGTACTGTGTGTGCATTATTACGCACTGTGGCTGTCATCCGTCTCGTCACGTTCCTCGCTTAATTTTGCTGCAGCCTGCTAAGCAGCTTGACGAAGTCCTTTTATGGAACTTTCTCCTTCCACGCAACTTTTCTTCAACTTCTCTCATCTCTCTCTCTCTCTCT